TTACTCCTTCCATAATTAGCGTTTTGACGGAGGATACTTTTACTTATCTACGGCAGTATTTGTCTTATGGGGCTTTGAGTTGGGCGTTTTTTTTATTTGTAAATTCTGCTATATGATTTCTGTTTATATGAGGTTTGCCACCTAGATCTTCATATCTCCGAATCAAGCTAATCTGCTTTATTTTTTTCTCAAATATACAGATTCCAATCTGCGTCACAGCTCTTTGCGAAAGCATCCTCCCATTTACTCTACGTACTCAGCACATCGTGAGAATCTGCGCAGAAAAGAGGCTGAAAGCAGTCAACTCATGGAACAGCAGGCCAGAACTAATGAAGAATGGGTGAGGCGCGCTTGAAACCTGTTGTCTCTAACGTTTTAATGCAATTTCTCCAATAATAGGCAAAATTCGCTTCACTTTTCGTGAATTTACATGCGGAAAATGAAATAAGCTGCTGCAATACCTAGTTCCGCCTTTTGTCAGGCCTGTGATTAGCAAAAGATTCTCAACTCTTCTTTACTCATAAAATCCTTACCATTTTTTCACGAGAATTGTTTTCTCTGGCTTCACCTGGTGGGCACTGTCAATAGCAATTAATCGAAGACACACCTAAGTTGTATGTTGTTAACTTACTTAGTTTGTTGGCAGCATTAGCCTATCGTGGCAAGTTTATTCAAACTTCATCCAACCTTTTCGCCATTAAGGTTTTAATGTTTTATTACATGTATGAATAATTCGCAACTCCATTCCCTCTCAATTTAACCTCTTGCTTTCCCAGGTCATAAGTTCTTACTACAGATCTCGTCATAAAACAAGCCTGTTAGTTGTCAGGGCTAGTAGCATTCTTAAGAAGCCTAAGACATAAACAATTGGCACAACCACGTGCAGGGCTAAACCGATCGTAGAAAAAAAGAGATATTGGATTCTATTGGGCGCCTCAACTTCGTCACGGTTAAGCTCTTCGGCGTCAGAGATTCTCAACAGATTTTCGGGATAGTAAACGCGGTCAAAAGTGTTGATAATGGATTTACCCTGTGGAATATAGTGAATTATAATTCGATTGATGTTTTTATGATCTCGTCTCAACTTATCCCACTACTTCTAATTATCTGACCATAGACTCTATCAACATAGTTCTTTAGAATCTTTTCGATACAAGCTACTGGCTAAGTATATGATGGGAGAATTAGTGAAGAGGTTTTCTTGGGCACTTTCAATGGATTTGAACAATATTTGCCGCCAAATGAATCTTTCTGATAAAACTAGCTATTGTTGACCTTAATGCTGTTTAGTTCGGTGCTATCAGATGAACGTCTTGTCCCTTACTTAAACTCGCCTTGTGAACTTCCCAAGGCAATATATTTTATCTCTCCAGATTGCCATGGCTGTAATAAAGAGGCTTATTGAATAGAATGTTCACTCAGTTTAGTTTTATGCTTCCCCCAACTTGGGTGTAGATTGCAAAGCTAGAAAATTGCTTTGCTCACCAACACAAGCTGAAAAGTTCCCTATAATTATCACTCGTTTTATCATTATTGCTCCTTTCCATCGCCCACATCTCACATGGGAAATCTTATGCGATAGATGAATCGCCATCAGGCCGAAGGAACTGAAGTGCTTGAGGAGCTTGAGACAATCACTCTGCAGCCAATAGGTCGTGGTGTTCATGATCTTGAGCCGTTGGCCTCCTCAACTATTCCTAGATCCACCAGAGTGACGACGCCGCTTGGTGAGTTTGAGCTTTTATTTTTTATTCATGCAAGCCACCCTAACTAACCTGAGGGCACAAATACTCTAAACTGCCTAGAATGCTCAGACAGTTGGAGGCGAGTGGCTCGGTTATGTCAGCACTTTACTCAGGCGAAGACCTGGACTGGATCTTTTATTATCGACTGAGAAGATACAAGCTTCTCTCACCTGAATTGGCCTGGATGAATAAATGATCCGATGGAGTCATTAACCGGCTTTGACGCGTACAAAACCCTATAAATTATTGTTCTGTTGCACAGTTAAGTGAGTAGCTATAAGATCTTAAACTTTTCACAAAGGAGTTGGTCGTTAAAGGCCCTCTTTGCTGAGCGACACTAAACGGACAACTCATATTCAATGACTGACAACGATGCTTCTAGGCTTCGGAAATATCAGTAGAACTTGAATAAGAACCTGGATCGCTTAAGGTGTTGTCGGGACTAATATTGGAATCTCGCAAAATACAGAACAAGTCATATCCATCCTGTGACCCATTGGCGCATGCGGATGTGTAATGCAATGGTA